ACCAAAAAATTTATTAGGATACAAGTTCGTATAAAAACGATTTTTTTAATAAAGGTAATTTACCAGTGGCGGAGATACTTTTTTTAAATGTGCGTTTTTTACATTTTAAAAACATTGAATAAGAAAAATTGCAGTTTTACAAATAATTTCCCAAGAAATAGGTATATTGAAAAATTTACACCTTAGCTCAAAAATATTATAACTTATCTTAAGGACAGTCCTCATTCACTTCCACATTTGTTAGGTTCATACATGTAATGCCATTGCATTGACCACATGACATAGTGCAGAGTCCCATTCGCTTGCATGTACATGCTTTTTTACAGTCTCCCGAAGAGCAAGTGCAAACAATTTTCTCGAAAACCCATGTAGGAGCAATAGACTGGTCTGAATGTATTAGATTCATCTCTCGATTTTTCAAATTCCAACCCCAATCTTGCGGTGGTAAATTGTTATTTAACCAAGCCTGTACCTGTAAGTTAAAAATGAGAATTTAGTTTAAGATTTGAATACAACATAAATTTAACTTACCTGATGAAAAACTCTAAGTCCATGATATTTCGCACTATTGGAGATTGGTGGTAATGATAATATGCTGCTATAAAAAACTGAGATGTAACTTCTTCTAACTTCTCCTTTGTAGCCTCGCGATTGTCAAATTCTTTTAATAGCTCACATAACTTTTTCATCTGGATGGTGTTCACTAAATTAATCTTCTCTTTATTGAGAGCATTGTGTCACAACCAGATATAGCGTGGACACTAAGAATCACGTTCTTCATCCCCCAATTTTTGTTGTAAGGCCGATATGTCGATTATTTTATTTGGTTTTGACACCTTTCCCGGACGAATCATAAACAGTCTCTTGTGGCAATAATGAATCAGTAACACTATAATGTCCGTATCTTCGCTAACTACTGCTACGGTCCCTTCTGGTAAATTGTCACTTATTGGCGAACGTTGTAGTTACAATAAGAGCATCGGCATCACCATCAGCGAATTTAACATTGATTCCCATTTTCCAACAATACTTTTCCGAGCGCACGAATGAAGTTGCTTTTGTTGGTGTTTGACAAATCTGCCTTTGGTACCTTCATTGCAGATAAATTCGAGAAAGATACAATTGGTATCATTTTTTTACCTGCAGATCTGCGATTCTGCTCTACAATTGTGGTCTGTATCTCTTCATAGCCATCAAAAACAACAGTGATGTTTTTACCATAGTGATATGTTATATAATTATAGTATTGAGAAAACAGATCTGAAAATATTGCATGGGTACAGGCTTGGTTAAATAACAATTTACCACCGCAAGTTTGGGGTTGGAATATGAAAAATCAAGAGATACATCCAATACACTTAGACCAGCCCATTGCTCCTACATGGGTTTTAGAGAAAAAAATTTGCAATTGCTCTGCGGGAGGTTCTAAGAAAGCATGTACATGCAAGCGAATGGGACTTACCTGCACTATGGCATGTGGTCAATGCAATGGCATTACATGTATGAACTCAACAAATGTGAAAGTGAATGAGGACTATCCTTAACATAAGTTATCCTATTATTGAGCTAAAGTTTTTCTTATTTTGTTATTAAATGTGTAAATTTTTGAATATACCTATTTCATAGGAAATTATTTGTAAAACTGCAATTTTTCTTATTCAATGTTTTTAAAATGTCAAAAACGCACATTTAAAAAAATATCTCCGCCACTGGTAACTTACCTCTATTAAAGAGATCGTTTTTATAGGAACTTGTATTCTAATAATTTTTTTGGTATCGAGATTTATCTCAAAAATGCTTTCATTTGAAGTTAAACACAGAATGGTGGGTTATTAAAATAATTCTCCTAAATTAAAGAATTCGCATCTGCGCCACTGAAATTCTAAAAATTTTGGTTCTTTACCTATCAGGTAGGAAATTTTCTTCTCTTCAATTTTTTACTCGTGACTTTTTTTCCTAAAGTTCGCAGTTTTAGAGTTATTGAAGAAAAAGTAAAAAAGGGCCATTTTTACCCCCTGTAGGGGTGGTTTTGGGGTGACGGGCTCAACGGTTCATCGCTGGGGTTTCAGGATGTTTAAGGATCTACAAAATGAAGCTCCATGCAAAATTACAGCTTGTCTCTAATTTGTTGAAGGTCACCCATGTGAAACGATGTATCGGCCCTGAGCTATATAGGCAGGCAATAATTTTAAGGTGGTACTATATAATTTTAAGTTGGCCGATTATTTAGTTGCAGAATTGAAATTAATATAGGTATTCTTATGAAGCTGCGCACCTATGTAATGAAATAGTCCGCCGATCGACTCCAAGGGAATATATTTTCACGTTTGAATGTAAATAATCAGCCGACTCGAAATCGCATGCGACTTTTAAAAACGCCCGTTATAAATATTACATTTTTATAAAGGCACCTCTGGATTAAAATATATATTTGATTAATCTCAGTTTTAATCTCATTAGGCGAATAGGCATTCATAATACAATCATATTTTTAATTATCAAATTATAAAAAAATAAAATACTATTAATCTATAATTCAAGATACAAGTCCAGAAAAAAAGTAGTGTAATATATTAACATTAAAGACAGTGAATAAAAAGTGAAATAAAGCAAAAATTTTATGTCTATTATTGCCATCTGTTGGGCGAGATCTCAAATAATATGAATTGAAAGCAGGACGCTATAGCAAGCTATATTTGGTTTGGCTCAAATTTCTTGTAATGTATGGATTTCTTTAATATTGCTTCTCAAATTTTTCTCAAGATTACGCTTAACTTGTATCAGCGTGCAGCGTTTACAAATATTGTAGGTGAAACAAAATACATACTAGCTATAAACTAACATTTAAGCCTAATTAATTCCTAGGTTTTCACTACACTTATAGTCTGTTATCATAAATATTAGACATAATTTATTCCCAAAATAATAATAATGTACCAAAAACCCTGACCATATCAAATTTTAATCGACTTTAATAAATGTAAAAAATATAAAATAATCATTCGTAAATAAACAAAAAAAACTTAAAAGAAAACAAACTTCGAAAGGCTATGGGTAAGGCAGGTTCTTGTTCAGGATTGTTCATGACATAGAGTTGCCTGAAAAAAAAAATCTTTGTGAGTATGTCGGTCCTACAAAATTCCTGATATTTATTATTAAGGTAAAATACCACAGTTCTAATGTTACAACGGGTATTAAACGGAGGGTGCTTTCCGAAATCTCAAAAACATATTACGGCACTAAACGCGAAGTGCCCTCTCTAAACAACTGGTGATCCCTTGCCACCAGCTTAGTGAACCCTTGCCACTAGCTCTCTAAACAACTGGTGAACCCTTCCCACCAGCCTAGTGAACCCTTGCCACTAGCTCTCCAAACAACTGGTGAACCCTTGCCACCAGCCCAGCGAACCATTGCCACTAGCTCTTTAAACAACTGTTGAACCCTTGCCAGCAGCCTAGTAAACCCTTACCACTAGCCCTTTAAACAACTGTTGAACCCTTGCCACCAGCCTAGTGAACCCTTGCCACTAGCTCGTTATAAAATATATAAATATATATATTCTTACTTATATAATATAAATTCTGTACTTAGACGTGCAATGACACCAAACGGAAGGGTCTGCTTCAGTTACAGAGACTACTCAACAAATCATTATAGAGAAGATAACTCTTTAAACTCATACTCTTAAATAAATCAATTATAAAATTAGAACATGTAGAGAATGCATACTCAGTGAACCAACTCACCCTTGTAGCTTTAACACTGCCACAACATTGTCACAATTTTATTCCAACTTTTTTGTTTACAACATTTTGTTTACAACTATTTAAAATAATTATTTAGCTCGTATTTAAATTAACGTTTAGCGACACTCCACTTCTTTAAAAGATTCAAAAGCAACTAAATGCCAACCCAGATATTAAACTGAGCCTCTCCGATATTGTGTGCGTCTTTCATAAAAAACTATGATATTTAAGATATTTTTTATAAGTATAAGAAGTGCCGTGACCAGCGTTCTCTTTATATTATCGCCGCTTGCCCTTACGTAGACTAAACAATCTGGAGCGATAAGCTTTGAAGCCTCGCTTGACAAAATTGGTGTGATTTTGCTACGGCGTTTGAAATATATCTAGAATATTATGAAATAAAATAAACAGGGTTTTACAATAATAAGTTGGCAACTGCACTGCAAAATATTCTACTAATTAAAATACTTCATTCTTAAGTGCACTGTTTATATTTACTTAGTAACCAAATTAGTAGAATATCTATTAAAATGATGACGCTGTGCTTGCTGTACAATTATTATAAAAATGAAGATGTCTAATAGTGTTACGGTAACTAACTATATATTAATAGGTATAATTCATTAGATAACAATTTATAACAAAGTTGTTGAATAGGGGCTTCCATAGACACTAACTGAGATAACCGATAATTTTTTTAGCGGAAGAACTGCGCCTTGCGAGACTGGACATTTTTTTCATTTTATTTTATTGATGGGATCTTGTTTCTTTTTGTAGGGCATTCCTTTCTCGGGAAAACCGTTTTTCAAAGTAATATAACGATATAAATAAAGTAAGTAAGCCCTTCAATCATGAAATCAAAATAGCAATAGAGTTTATAGAACAGAAATCATAAACGGTATATGACGATTGGAGCCGATCAATACAGCAAATAACTTAAAATTTGACGTGAGACATTCAATATTGAAATCAAGACATTTGAAGCAATCAAAATTAAATAAAAGGGGAATTAGTAAAAAATAATTGAATCCAAAGGAATCAAAACTCATTGGTGCAACTTCGTGTTTGGTGTTATCAATGGCTTGGTTTTATTAAGTTTATTTTTAAGTATAAAAGAGGAGATAACGATTGATTGAATTTTATGAATTAAAAAAAATCATAAAATAAATAAAGATTGATTTTTTATTAATATCTGATAACATTTCAGCTATTTAAGTGGAATAATATAACTATTTCATTTCAATTGCATTATTGAAATTGCATAATAATTACGGGAATATTTGGTGAATAAGTTATACATCTATTGACACTGAGGTAAAAAAGTTACTATTTAGGCTGTAAGTATTATTCAATTTTTAATTTCCCTCACAAAAATGTATTCAAAGCAATTCTCTTATACCTAACTGTAATAAATAAATTATTCAATTAGTTAAAAAAGGCCAATCGATAGAAAAAATCCAAGACTTTTGTAAAATGGAACAGTTTCTAAAACTGTTCCTTACAGCGCTTTCACATGCGACGGACCATCCGCGACGGAAGTACGAGTAAGTACGAGTAAGTACCATGAGTTTATATGAACAATTTCACATGGGCGCGTATGCTCCGTCCGACGGAGTTTGTTCGACGGCTATCTTGAAAAAACACGACGGACGGTCCGTCGCCTGTGAAAACGCTGTTAACACTTACAGCGCTTTCAGATGGAGCGGACCGTCCGCGACGGATTGTCCGCAACTTCGAGCAAGTACCATGAGTTTATATGAACAATTTTACATGGGTGGGTATCAATGACATCGAAATAAATTAGACCCGGCGACTTACATTTTGGCGAAATCCATCATTGCCTTAGAAAATTGCATGTATGCCAAATTTCCAATTCGACCGCATTTTAAAAGGAAATCTTACCTACGTATACGTACGGGGATAGCTAACCCACATTGTAAACCAGGAATTCCAAATATAGATTACGTCGTAGAATACTTTAAACCGATCATAATTAAAGGTAGCCTAGTATCACGAACTACTCCCAATCAGCATTAGCCATTATTTAAATCTTCTGTAATTATAATTTTTAGATTTTAAGAAATTTAACATAAAACAATCGACAACGTCGCAACGCCAGCTGATACTGAGAACGTACGCATTTTACTATCTTTACTCCTAAATTCAGGCAGCCAACAAAACATCCAGTTCGAATTCGTTCATAAATTGCTTTACGGCGTTGCCAATGTGTTGTGGTTTTTCGAAATGTTTTATGAGGTGAGTTTCAGATATTTTAGTGTTTTGTGGTATTATTTTTAGCGATTTTATTCAGAAACAATAAGACAATGGTGCGAACTTGCTTCGTTTGCAAAAATAGAGACGATTTAAACCTAGAAGTTTGATTTCGAAGGTGAGTAAGGCTATGTTACGTCAGTGCGGTGCCGAAAGGTAAAATAGGAAAAAATCTTTGGAAATATTAGTAAATCACACAGTTTTGGAATGTACCGTTATAAGTAATGAATTAAGTTAGTTTCGTCACGTTTGGTTTTATTGAATATCTTGATCATAATATTTAAATATTATCAAAACCAAGTATACAAATGCGAATATTAATTTGTTGAAAAAATATATAAAAAAATTAAAGATGTCACAATTACGAATAATGTTTAATAGTGATATACCATATGATCGAAAAAAAACGGCGTATATGGGGAATGTCATCGATGTTCATTTCTAACCCAACTGGACGCCTTTTTTTTCGATCATACTGATTGTTATTAGGATTTTTCGTTATTAAAGATGATATTTTAAGTGTAAAATCAAAATAGATTTATATAATGGATATTACATACTAAATACCGTATGATCGAAAAAAAAACGGCGTCAAAGACTGCTGGGAATAACAATCGAATATAATTTTGGCGAGGTCTATTTCTAGATGTCATTTATTAAAAATTGACATAAAACTTGTCAAAAACTAATACTGATTATAGAAAAATTATAAAAGGATAGAACGTTTCCAGAAACACAAATCGATATTCAAACAAAATGTTTTCGAGTTTATATTACACCATTTAAAAATCAAATACAACCATAAGGCGTACTACTGCCAATAAGTGAGTAGGTGTCATTAAAAAATAAACAAGAGTAGGGGTCATGACATATCACCTTGCCAAAATTATCACTAAAATTATCACCGACGCCGTTTTTTTTTTGATAGTATAATTTTTGTAATAGAGGAATGTATTTTTTGTTTTGCTTATTAAGACAAAAAAAAATTATATAGTTTAAAAGATAAATGCGTCTTTGTTTGATATGTTTTATTGAATAGTTAATTATTTATTCAGTACAAGGTCCCGATTATCTGCGAAGAAACTGATCCTGAAATAAGTAAATATTTTAGAAATTTTCTTTTGTTGAACAAAGATCTTTATTATTGTTGTTATAAATAGTAATATTTTTATACCTAATATTAAATTGCAATTCGTCACGACAGTTTTAAAATATTCTTATTTTTCACCGTTGCTTCAATCAAAATAATACCATTAATTCACATAAATGTTTTATAAAAGTCGTCTTCGGCTCGTATTCATTGAACGCTTGATGGATTATATTACTACTGGAGCAATTTACAGACATTACTATAGAAATGTGCATATCATAATTTCAGTTAGTTATTTTCGTATAGAAGTGATTGGAGTATAGAAGTAGTCATTTTCAAAATTTGAAGAGCCATCTGGCACAACAATATATCGTATCCAAAAATCATATTTACGAGAATATAATATTAAATTATATATTACAATCAAAGTAACTGCGCCACTGGCACACATTCTTAAGATCTCTGAACAGCGTTGCCATTCTCTCGGGAATCCTTCATGACTGCGATCAGCCCGTCTTGTTCCCACTCGCATAGAACAAGAAACGAATGTCTGATTCTGGTCTTTTTCTTTTTATGAATGAAATGCCGGGTATACTTTATTTAGAGGTCATTGGTGGGTATGCTCCGTCCGACGGAGTTCGTCCGATGGTTATCTTGAAAAAACACGACGGACGGTCCGTCATGGACGCTCCGCTCCATCTGAAAGCGCTGTTAGGCTGATGTGTGGTTGATGTGTGTCACAAGTCCCTGAACGAGGCAAGTAAGCACGAGATAATTTTTTCAATTACTTTTTCGATTTTATCTCGGATAGTATGAGTTCGAAAGTATGATTTCTAGTAGAAAAATTATACAAAACTGAAGCTTACAGTTTTTTACAAAAATAGTTCTTTGCATTTTCGTCGCCACATTTATTGTCTCCAAACTGTGCGTTTCAAAAATTTGGGAGCTATATCAAATGGCGTATACCAAATCTTTACAAACACATCTTTACAAACACACCAATTCGTATTTTTCGGTTATATAGCTTTAACGAAATACAATATCATGACATATTGAACATTGATTTTAGTATATATTATTAGTATATACTGTGATTTTTTAATATATGTTATATCTTAATGTGGTGTGTTTACGTAAAATCACTTAAATTAGCAAATATCTATGTCAACTGTTAATTTGCTCATATTGTTTACTAAAAGTTTTTGTAAATTTTCTTTTATAAATATGTGCATTTTTATAAATATCTATTATTAAATTAAAATCACTTTTTGTGATTTTGCATTTACGTTAACTGCGCTTACTTCCACACCAGAAGGAATATTATAATAGAGCATGTAGAATAATATAATAACAATGTACCGGGTAGTAAACGAAAAATGTATGCGATCTGTAACTCAAAAGCTACTTAACTTATATAATAATAATAGCTCCCGTATATAGCGTTTAACGCCTTGGGAGTAGCAAGGTATAGCTTGCCATGCTAGAGCCGTTCGGTATACAAGGAAGGTAATGTGGCTAGCACTACGCTTCAACCGCCTATTATTACCTCAGGATTGTGAATCCCAAGGACTCATTTAAGGCTGAGTCGACCTAGGTACCCAAATTATTTTTACTTTAATAAAAATAGTCGGCTGATGAAATTCCGGGTGGGATTCGAACCCACAACCTTGAGATTGGTAGAAGAGAGCCTGTACCTCTACGCCACCGGGCACCATTACTTAACTTATAACTCTAGAAAAAAGATAATGAGAAAAATCGCTCGAATTTTATTTTCAAGTTCGGCAAATGTTCGCTAGCGTGCGCATCGGTTATAGCCCATCAACAAACGGTATTTTTTCTCAAAAATATGTACGTAAAAAGGTATTATAGATTTAGCCATTTTAATTAAGAAAAAAATAAAAATTTAAAAAAAATAAAAATTTAAAAAAAATTAATTTTTTTTTTATTATATGTTTAGTTATATTTGCTCTATCTCATAAAACAAGTTAATTAAACTGCTTTTTCAGAGCTTAAAACAGAGATAGTTCTGGATTAGGTTAACCACCTTGTGTATATTTGTCTAGTACAGCCTCTCAAATAGTGCCGTTCGGATTCGGCGATAAACTGTAGGTCTTGTGTACTTGTGAAATATGGATGACACATATCATAAATAAATAAAGTCCATAAACTAATTTGAATTTTGAAAATAGCTACTGTCACTAGAAACTTGCCATGACGACATCAGCCCTCTTTGTTGCCATTTTATTGAAAAATTGCTCTGTATTCAAAATCTGACCTAGATAGGTATAGGACACCCTAATATAACATATAGTTTGAAAGACCATTTGAATCTGTTTCGATTTATTTCAAAAAACAGGTTGTCGTATTTGAAATAACAAAGTTTTTATGTAAAATAAATATTTAAAATAAATCATAAATTTTTGGTACCCCTGTATAAATTTAAGGCAGCAATACAATTTTCATTAAAGTTTATTTCTCTACTTTTAAACTCAGCACAAGAATTAATTCTAAAAAGTAATGTACAGGGTGTTGATAATCTATTCCATTGTAGCATGCATATTTAAATATCTTTAAATATCTCAAAAACCAAAGCTTGTAAACATATTAATATATAATAACCCTTATAATACCTGCCTTATTTTGTGTCCAAGGATCCAAATATGAAATAAAATACCGGGTGTTCCATAAGAAAAAATATAATTTTGGTGTAAATCTTAGTTCTGACATATCCTGTACATTTCAAAATAATTTTAAATTATGCACGTGGTCTTCCCCCATATGCCCATAAAATATTTTGTTTCTACATATTTCCGTTTTCGTATAATCAACCGAGGCGAATGAGTTGCGCCACCCCGTATATAGATGTTCCATTTAAAAATATATTCGGGGTCCACTCACACTTTTTTGAGCCACCCTTTAGAAGTTCAAATATTTTCCTCATCCTAATACATACTTTATGTCTGGACTACAAAATTC